CCTCCTTTATATATATATATATATATATATATATATATAGTTTACAAATAGCCCAAGGGGCGGGAACCATGAGAGTAAATAGAAAGAAAAAAAAAGGGACAAATCGTCGGTGAAGAGAGAGAGAAAGTGAGAAGGAAGAGAGAAAAAAGAAAGAAAAGAAAAGAGAGAAAGAGTAATAAAAATAAAAATCTTACGCAATCTTAAGATATCTATGAGAAACTTTACTTTTCTTAAGGTAAGGGGAAAAGACTTTTATCTTTTTAAAATTTTCTATATATTATTATATTTATTTACTTTAAGTTATATCTATAAATATTTAATTAGTGAGGTATCCTAACCTCATTTACCTATTTAATTTATGATACTAATTATTCTAAATAATCAATGAGGAATTCCTAATTTATGTTGTTTAATTAATTTGTTATTTATAACTATCATTTACTAGATTAAAATTCTTTAATACATCCAATTTTTGTAAATTATATTATACTAAATTATAAATAATTAAAAATATTCTAATTTATTAAGCTTAATTATTTTATATTAATTTTAACTCTAACCTAGCCTTGTTAATTTTCCTAAGCTCATTTTATTATTATATCATCATTCATTATAAAGATAAACGTTAATTAATTGCAATAAGAATGAAAATTTGAATTAATTTATAGTTGGAGGTTTGACCTTGAATATTTAAGTGAACAAAAAACTTAAGGTTAGATATCCTTTTGTTATTTGAGATTATGATAAAGCTTATTTATCCTGACTAGTCACGATAAGAATAATTCAAATTTCACTATAATGAGAATAAAAAAAATAATATATTGAATATTGGTTACAAGTAATTTGTACATAGCTATTGATTTATTTGTATTTATTGAATAATTATTTTCACTCCTTTTTTTATTTGTTATAAAATTAAATTAATTATAATGTAAAATATATGGATCTGCCAACAATACCAGATCCTTTCAATTCCGTTATCATGATCGTTTTATTGGGTACAACTTGGGACATTGACAGAACTATCAATTCCATTACTTTTCAGGACATAGGAGTATCGTCATTTGTATTGTCACCAACCCAATAAACCTCTACTATTATAGATGGTCAAATAGTGGTTACTTTTTATCTACCCCCAACCAATTACATTAATCCAATAAATCTATACCAAACTTGGATGTAAACCTATAAGTATAAGTGAGAAAGAAAAATTTGTATTAAAATAACTTTTCCTTCATGTTAGTTATATGTAGTTTCTTTATGAATGGAAATATGATTATGGTGCGATTTTTTTACCTAGTATGGTTTTAAAAATTTATATTATAGATAATAATAATTTTGTTATAATAAAATTTTATTGCAAATTTTAAAACGTTGTAATAGCTATATAGGTATGACTTGATGAGTAATTCATTCTATAATAATCGACATTACAGACTACACCTAAGAGATGATGCTAGCTTAAGCAAGTAGAGTGCTCGCTCTAAGTGAGCTAAAATTTGCCAAAAGTGATCAAAACCTCACTTTAAACAAGTCAAGTCAGAGACTACTTCCTGGAAGAGTATGCTGGCTTGCTTAAGCAAGTACTCACTCTAAATGAGTCAAAATTTTCTTAGAGCAACTAGGATAGACACTCTTAATGAGTCAAATCAAAGACCACCTCTAGAAAGATTGGACATGCTTGTTTAAGCGAGCCACATAGACACTCTGAGCGAGCATACACAAATAGAAGCCAATTTAAAATATATTAAATTAGAAAATTTAGGAGGTCTTTGTATCTTAGTTTTCACAAACACACAAATTTTGAGAGATTAGAGAGAGAACTCTTGTGCAAGAATTTTTTATAATCACAGATCACTCAAAGATTCCTTTTTTTTTTTTTGTATAATCCTTAGCCATGAGCGACTAAT